CCCGGCCCACTGGTGCTTTACTTTAAATTCTGTGCACTCCTGTGACAAGCCCAGTGCATGCCCAGAAGAGGCAGTGCATTAGTTGCACCTGGCTTTCCCAACTTCTGTATAGACGGGGCTTTAGTGGGGCTTTTTTGGTGCTTTTATCTAATAGCTCAGGTGCTGTCAACCGAGGTTACGTGTAACCCTGGGGGTATTTTGAAAGGTCCCAGGGCTGCCTGCAGGCAAGCAGGGCTGGAGTGCTGCCACTCTGCACCATCGCTTCACAGGAGCAGGGCCGGAGCAAGGGCTGCGGTGCCCCTCCATAGGTCAAACAGGCACCGGCCAGACACAGCGGGAGGAAGGTTGCATGTGGCCGTGGCAGCAGTAGCTGCCATCCACCCCGCTGCACCACCACTTCTCTGTGCGCGGCCGTCGCTGCCACCCCTCCCTCCCCTACCACTCTGCAACCAGCTGCTGCTACCTTCCCCACTTGCTCGTCAACTGGCTGCCAGTGGTACACTGTTTTAAAAAGGTTGAAACCCCCTGTAATAACTGATTGAATCAACTTTAGCTAAAAGGGCCAAAAAGCCCTGCTGAAGCGCCTGATCTATATTTTAACCTGTCTCTGCAGCATCTCTAACACACTGCTTCTTCCGGTAAGTTGCAAAATACCATAAATCTTTATGGTAGATTCGTCTGCAAGGTTTCCAAGATGTCTGGCAAGTGTTATCTCCATGAGGATGTGCATTGCTTCCAGTGGGGTAGGGATGTGGACTGTAATTGAGCTAGTTAGAAAAATCTGTTGTGTTATCTATTTAAATACTTTGCAGCAGCCATTTGCTGCAATGCATTCTTTATCTCCTCCTTTAATTTTTCTTTGTCTAACAGAAAGAAACTCTTATGGTGCGCTTATTGATGTGAAGTAAGAAACAATTGTAGAAATATTGACAGCAATATCATCCTACTCTGTTAGAACTGCACTCTTTCCATTGTTATTGAAAACTGTTGGGGAACCTCAAAATGTTCATTTTAAACATGATTGTATTTATGGACCACTGAAACACAAAATTACTTCATGTACCTAATGAAGAACCAAATTTTGTGCCTGCTACAGTTTTTTGCATCATCAGTATTACTGACAGTTCTCTTGTCATCCAGTCACTATTTCAAATTGGCTATGAATAAGGTTCTGAAAAGGTGACCATTGAAGTTTGAAAGAGAGTGTGATTTTTTTTTTTTTTTTTTTTTTTTTTCTCCTCCAATTAAGAATGATGTTTTTGGGTCCTGTTTAAATGTCTGTTTTCCAAAGATGCTAGCCCAGGTCAAGCACCAGTTTGCAGTTGAAATTCAGTGTAGTTGATTTGATCAATTTCCTTTTTAAAAAGACATGAAAGCTGCTTATAGACATACCCCCCCCTCAGTGCTTTGCTTTACTTAACTCCATGCGCCCCTGCGGTGACCTCAGCACACGCTCAGAAGAGGCATTGCATTACTTGGACCTGGCTCACCCAACGTGTATAAATTGGGTGCTGCAATGGGGCTTTTTGGTGCTCTTGTTTAATAGGTGATTGAATTGGTTTTAGCTAAAAGCATTGAAAAGCCCTGCTAACTGCCCAGTCTATACAAATGCTGCAGAGCTGGGTCCAACTAACACGCTGCTGCTTCCAGTAATGTATGGTGGCTTTTTGGTGTTCCTTTCTTCCCCTCCCCCCCCCGCCCTTCCTCCTCCCCGACGTCTGTCAGTGTCTGAAATGACCAGTAAATTAATCTTAATCGCAGGCTTTCTGTAAGTCCTTTAACACTTGAAAGTGTCTCTTGCTCATGTGAAGCAAAGAAAAGAAAGGTTTCCCCCCCCCCCCCCCCTTTTTAAAAAAAAGTTTCCTTGTTCTTTAGAAAAGTCTAGTCAGATCTTCGGTTTTGTGCGAGGACTTACATTTCAGAATATGCTTTACAAACTCCCACCTAAACCGTGTCTTTTTTTGGAAGAATGGAGTCTTTCTTCCAAATGTTACAATTTATATATTTCTAAAACCTAACGAACAGCCGGGGAAATAAAAAAAGCTTTAAGCAATCTGACTAAAAATTCTGTTTCTGTTCTTAATTGCTTAATCTTATCTGCCTTGATTCATAACATTTTTCTAGTGTACACAAGACCTGAATTTCTAATAGCAGGGTAAAAATCAGTCTTTTGGGTATCTTTATTTCTTCCAACCCTCTTTGTAGTCTTCTTTTTAAACAAACACTGTCTCCCTTGCCAGGTGTGTTTTTTGTTTTTTTTTTTTCTCCCCCCCCCCCCCCCCCCTGTCCTCTTGTTTCCCATGTTTTTGATAGTTTATCCTTGGTTTGCCAAATAGAATTCCTTCCTTCTTAACGTATGTCTAGATGAAAGAGAACAGCAATTTGAATCTTACTTAGAGTCCACCTTAACTGTTTTTTGTACAAATGTTTTTTATGACCTAATGAGGTGTAGTGTTTTTCTGTTTTGGGTAGTACAGTAGTTCTTTTCTGCCTACCTTAATTTTCCTCTAAAATATTTTTTGTTTTGACAGTTCAGCCACACAAATGGGAGCGACTCTGGATTACAGAAACACTTAACTGCCTAACAGAAACTGCTCCTGGACAAGTTGGGTGTATCTAGGGCCTTTCTAGTGAGAACAGAATTCTAGATTCATCATAAGCACAGTCATGTAACAAAAATATTTTGAGGAATTTCTCTTTTATGCCAGCTGTCTAACCCAGAGCTATATGGACAGTTGGGCAACTATCGATCTATGTTAAGCATAAATTTGTTACGCATAGGTATATAGAGTCAAGGTACTTGAAATCAGCCAGTGTCTTGAGCATGCCAAGTGCTCTGCTGGGAGTTAGGAAGAAGTGGATGTAGAGAGTGTACATTCTTGTGTATGAATGAATAAATACTGCTCTATATTTGTGGCAAGTGATGTGATGCTAGATATACTAATGGTAAAGGTTGAGGCTAGAGCACTTCCAGAAATTACAAAAATGGAACAGAAGCCCAGAGAGAGAGAGGGGCTATGCAGACATACAATGGGTTGTGAGATAGTTGGTCATGCAGTACAGTTAGGAGATTTCTTGTTGTCATGACTGCCTGCTGCACCGACCTTGACTTATTTGGTAAGCCTGAAGTCCAGGCTATCATACTAACTCATTGTGAGTTGAGACTACTTCTTGCTTATTTACTGCTACTGATTTTTAGCTTTATATTCTACTGAAACAGATGTTGCAAATATAAGCATTTTAATGATCTAACTATTTACCCAAAGAACCTTGTCTGCTTTGTAACTGTAAATCCCTTATATAATCAATCTTGCATCGCTAAAGATTCTTTTTTTGTGTTCCAAGGGAGTCAGATGTAGAGACCATGGCTTAGGCTTGTGATAAAATTAAAAATTTTTGGGTGCTTTTAAGGTGCTGACTGTAACTCTTGGAGATCTTGGCAAGTGTAATAAACAGGGTATGTGCTGCTCTTAAAAGGCAAACTGGGCAAAGGTGAAACTAATGTAGTTGGCTGATATCTTTAAAGTACAGAGTTACTTTCATGAGCATGTATTTCATCAAACATTTGCATTCAAATTGCATCTTTTGTTTGCTTGCAGGTCCTTGTTTACTGGACTGTTGAGGTCAGTAGTAGCTATATCAGCGCAGGAATGGGGAATATGCCAGAGGGGGAAAAGGTAAGTCCAGTTTTATTCACTACTGAGTTAGACTTCTAAGATTTTTCTCTCCTACATAGATAGATTCCCCGCTCCTGCATTAACTGTAAGTGCTGCTGACCTCACCAGTCCAGTTCCTGTTGGGATAGCTCGTCATGAGTGGGAAACCAGAGACTGCTGGACAATGATGTCAAACCTGCAAAACAGGTGGAAAAAGGTGACGGAGGCTAAAATGCTCACGAATATCTGGGTGTACGGCCATTTAAGTAGCGTTTATTTTACATTTGGAAAGATATCAAAGTTGGCGGCAGTGAGGGGAAACAACTGCAAAGGAAACAAATCTTACCCATTGTAGTGCAGGAGCATAACTAAGGGAAAGAAGGGGTGTGACCAGGGTAACAGCTGTGGTTGCTAACTTGAGCAGGGAACTGCCACTACCTGCGCATTGCTGCTGCCAAGGGTACAGAGGTGTCTGTTGTGCTGTTGTTGTAATGACGGATTGCAATGTTGCTGGAAAGCACCATGTAGTATGCAGAGCAGAGGACTGCAAGTTAGTGGCAGATCCTGGATTTTGCTCTCAAATCTACTATTGGCTTGCTTACTGCAAGTCATTCTTTTAATGCGGTGCCTGCTGGGACTGTAGCACCTGTTCCAGCTAATCCAGGACCCACCTGTGAGTGCCATGTGGTGTACAGGTCCCAGACTAGCTGGAGCAGGCACTCTGTTGCTCAGTTCCAAGAGTAGGCATGGCATGTGGTGCAATCCAGCCAGGGTGGGCACCATGGCATTTACTTCAGCTGATCTGGGGTCCATGCTGCATGCCCCCAGGCAAACTGCTGCCTGTTCTGGCTACTTGGGGATCTGTGCCACACATGGCAGGGGTCCCAGACAAGCCACAGTAGCTGTTTGGATCTGTTATGCTGGGGGGAAAAGGAAGGAGTTCATGGGTCAAGCCTGGCCAGTGGACTAACTCCCATGCTACTTAGGCAGGGCCAGGTGAGTGTATTACCACTGCTCTAAGCTGTTTGTCTCTCTTCCTGTCTTTACTGCTGTACTCGTCTAATAGCTGCCCATATTTGTGAGAACTGAAGTAAAAAAGGCATTAATTACTGTATTTAGTCAAGTCCAAGGTGAGATTCCCCACTTCAATCAATAGGGGGGAGCCTTGTCTTGAGTTCTAGTGTTGGTGTGTGGGCTCTGCTCCAGGGGTGGAGTCAGCTGCTGGGGCTGCTGCTGCCAGTGCCACTGCCGCTTTTGGAGGCTTGGAGTCGGCAGCAATACAGTGAGTGTGGGTCAGGGCTAGGGTCTAGGAATGGGTGGCAGCCTGGGTGGGGGATCAAGTGAGGGTTGAGACAGCAGAGTGTGCGTTACTTCCCTCTCCCCTGAGCACACATAGGATTGGAAGCAGCATGCACTTAGGTTTGCATGAAGGAACAGTTTTTTTTTTTTTTTTTGTTTTGTTTTTTTTTGTCCCCCCCCCCCCCCCCCCCCAAAATGATAAACAGCTTGGATAACTTAATGAAGTATGAATAACTTCCTTCACCTGTGTAGTGTAGAGAACAGATAAACATACAGGCTAACACCTACATGCCAAATAAAGCTGTCATCTGTTCCATGGTAATGAGCGGAAAAGTCAACTTCAGCTTGATTCACTACTTTATACCAGTGTGACTCCATCGACGTGAAACTGGAGTAACAGAACGGTAGATCAGGCCCATGAAGTAACATAAAGGATTCAGATCCTCTTGTGTTTTCTAGGCACCTATTTGCAGGGGTTTTTGCTTGTTTTTTATGTTCAAGTTCCATCCTTGGAGGTTTTAAAGGCCTGGCTTGACACAACCCTTGCTGGGATGATCTAGTTGGGGATGCTCCTGCCTTGAGCAGGGGGTTGGACTAGATGACCTCCTGAGGTCCCTTCCAACCCTAATTTTTGTGATTGTAAGTTAAGGATGCTTAGATTTTGTGTTAGTAAGTATACTGCATTGTGTTGAGCTGGAGATGAAAACCTTGTGCTTTCGGGATTTTTTTTTTTCTAGCTTTTGGTTAACACCTCCCTTTTAATGGTTAATCACAGGGCGCACAGCTTTGATTTATTTAAAAATGTTTTGACTAGTGGTGGTCTCAGATCAGGCTTATGGTTTATGTAATTTTTTTTTTAATAATTCATTGGTTTTGAAAAATGAACCTCAGTGTTGCTGTAAATAAATGTTCCATACATGGCTCAGAGAAGTGCTGCATTTTGTGCTTCAGGAAGGTGACATTCATTCTAGGGGAAAAAAAACTTGCTTCTGAACATCTAGTTATGTATTGTATTGTATTGTTTTGTGTAAACATGAACAAATTCCCAGATGAGTTGAGTGAATTGGCAGCACTTTACACATTTTTCACTTTGGACTTGTTTATTTACCCTGCATTACCTGGCATGAAATTTCTAATGTCATGTGGATAACTGACATACTGAGTGTGAAGTATCCCCTCATTCCCTCTAAAGGTGGAAATTTCCACAGCTGTCCTGTGCCTTCTGTAATCTGGGGATTTGTCCTGTTACACTCATTAGTAGTCATCAGTCTTTCAAACCAGCACAGACTGTCAGTGCATATAGTGTCTTTCTCTGCCTACACTCAGGCTTTACCCCAGTGCTGCTAATACCATGACTGTATTAGGAGCAAATACCCTGTCTAGATTAAGTTGTATTCCCCCCCCCGTGGCTAGATGTTGTTAATCTAGTCACTTTTGCTGTTCCCACAGTTTACAGCCTTAAAATTTACAGGTGTGTCCAATTGCATACCTCCATTTTAGCATGAACATTTAAAATAGAATGATTTCAATATTTTTCTTGCTATATGAATATTTAAAATGTGTATTCCAAAGAATACTATAAAAAAAATTGCTGTTCCATTTTAATGTATGGAAAAGATCTATTGAAGAAATAAAGAAATTGGGAAGTGCCTTCACAGGTGAGACAATACATGAAAAATATGCATGTGAGAGATTACATTGTATATCTCAAACAACTTTAATTCTGACCCTGTAATTCCCTTCTGGCTTGGCCTGTACACTGAATGCCCTCTGAAACCTTCCTTTGCTATATTAGATACATTTCTAGCAAGAGGTATAAAAACCTCATCCATGTATTGCGTGTGGCACAGGCCACTGTCTAGAATGTCATCATTACTTTTCAGAGATGAGTCCTGAGTTTTAATTTTGGATCTGGAACTTACCTGCTGTATACGATCTTGAAAATCAAATGAATTTGCCTTGTTGCCTTGCTTCACCCTCTTTAAAAAGGGGGGTGGGGTGGTTATAGAGGCCTGTTTCTGAAAAGCACTTTGAGATGCATTAGTGAAAAGCACTATTCATACAGGAGTATCTGTTAATTTTTACACAGACTGCATAAACTGGACATCTGACTATGTAGAATAGTACAGCAGTACACTGAGCAGTAATGCTAATAGTTAATCTTGGGTTATTCCCCAATTCTTTCCTTCATTCTGTGGAGCAGTTGCAGCAGCATCGCCTTGAATGACTACTATTTTCTAACCTAATTGGCAATGAAGATGAGTGGGATTGTTATCCCTTACATTATTTTTGGAACACAGCTTTAAAAGAAAATTAACGGACGGTATCATAAGAATACCTAAACTAATATAGGGTGACTTCAAATATGTAGAAGTTGTTCCAGGCCTGCCTTGGTAGCTCCGCTTTGTACAAGGAACTGTTTGTCACTTTCTCCCCTCCCTCCCACCCCCGGCTGCATCCACACAAGGGTGGACACTTGTTTCCTCAAGCAGGGACAACTAGCAGCAAGACATCTTGTGCTGTTTGTCCCCAGAGAATGTCTGTGCCATGCACCCTCCGGCACATGGCAGGTTAACCCAGGTGGGGGAGAGGAGGCTGGGGCCAGATCTGGGATGGCCCTAGTAGCCTTACCTGGGGGCCTCCTGGGGCTGCAACAGCAGCAATCCTGTTTGGTGCCTGGCTGGCAGCTGAAGCCAGTCTCCAGTTTTGGACAGCACGCATTGTCCCTGCACGTGCCACCCCACTCTTTTTTTTTTTTGCACAGGTTTTTTGGACCCCAGAATCTCCTGGAGTTGAAAACCCCCTGCGCTGCTACTTTGCAGCCTGGAGAACACCTGAATGTGTGGTATGTAGTGCTGCAGGCATGTCTGGTGCCACATACTGCATGGCTGCACTCATCGAGACGTGGCCTGATGGACTATTTTGAAAGAAATTGAGCGCTTGTTTCTAGCAATTTTTAATTTTTATTTCGTTTTAAATCACAAGTTAATCACAACCTCTGAAGGACGCTGGCTTTCAAAATGTAAGTAAGGCACTTCTTCAGATGATTATCTGTGTGCTGACCCCCAGTCACATGGAAGAATTGAGTTGTTGTTCCTTGAAGCTGTCTGAGTCTTGAATTTGAATAAAAAAAATAAAATAACTAGTGTGTTTGTATTTAAATTTTCAGTCTGTAATTGGTTTAAACACATCTGACCACATTTGTACTGTCTTGGCATGACTCTTTATTATGCTTCCTGTAGAATCTAAACCTTTCACCATCATATGATTTCTATGAATAGGCTACACACAGATCTGACTTTCTACTTATCTGCTTTTCTTCAGGGGTTGATCATTCCTCTTTTTAATGTTTTCCTTTTACTAAGGGCTTTTTTCTGCATGTACATGACTGGTATAGGCCAACAGGTCACACAGCAGGGGGCGTATTTGGTCTCAGCCTCTGTCCTTTGCTTGTGCATATGCTTGCATCAGTAGCATAACAATGGTTGGGGAAGCAGGGCATGAGGCTTGGGCACGAAGTGGGGCATATGGTAAAATGGACCTGGGAGTCCATTTTACCATAACATACTGGCCAAACTCTCCCATCCTTCTCCTGTCCCTACTATACCCTGCACCTTCCCTTCAAAATTTCTGGCAATGTAGAAAACAGACAAGAGCAGGGGTACAGGCTTCAGGAGCAGTGGCTGAAAGTTCCTAACTGTAGGGAGTTGGGGTAAGGGGAGATGTCACCCTTTTTGTGTCCAAAAATCAGCTTTGCAATGGCTGCTTAACATGAGTGAGTTAGTGCCAAAAAGAGCCACTGTCCCTGCATTATGTGCCACTGCTGTCCATGGCACAGAACTGGCCAGTTACATCTCTGTTTTTGCATAATAATGGTGTGGTACAAAAGACTTACTGGAATATTTTCTGGGAGAGTGGCATTCCTCATGGATAGCAGAGCCAAGAAGAAATCATATAGGTCATTCAAAAAAATCAAGGTCGGATATTAACTCTCTTGAAAGTGGTTAAATAATTTAGTGCAGGCCTGTCCAATTGGTTCTCCCTTCTACCTCATCCACCATGGGGGGTTAGTCTGCAGGCCCCAGGACTCTCAGCCAGCTGCTGCCGCCCCCGCTATTCTGGCAGCAGTAGCCAGAGAGTCTAGCTTCCCCTTATCTCTGGCTGCTTCTTCCTTCTCCCCCACACCCAGGGGGTGGGGTGGAGCATCATCACACAGCCTGCAGTGCCAAGGAAGCCTATGCTGTGGTGGGGCAGTATGGCCCAGTGCAATGGAGGAGCCTGTGTCCAGGGAGATGAAGATGGAAGTTGGGCATGCAGCTAGGGGTGAAGGGACGGGATGTACCCAGTTCCAGGAGGGGCAGGTGGTGCCTGGAGGACTGTAGCAGACTGGCACTCCCTTATGCAGACTCAGGAGCCAGTTTCCTCATACAAACCAGTGAGTTCTTTTAGTTCTAGTCCATTTATTATACATGTGGACAGCCTCTCCTCATCATAGCTAACAAAACAAGTGCAGGTGCAAAGAACAAACACAACCCTCTGGTCTTTCTTTAGACCTAGAGGAGCCACACAGGCCCTATGCTTCTCCCTAATCGCCGTTCTCTTCTCTTTTCCTCTCCCCAGCTTCCTGGGAACTTTTAACTCTCTCTGAGCCTAGTTAGTCATCACTGTCAGCTGACCCAGTGCTCTTAAGTGGGTCGGCTATTAACCCCCTAACTCTGCAGCTGTGTTCTAGCCCGTGCACTGTGAACTTCAGTACACATCCCTCTTCCCAAGAGTAGAGTCTGGGGTATGCTCTTCCACATCCTTAAGTAACCCCACACCCCCCCTGGGGGAGGGTGGTGGGTCAGCCAAGCCACTGCTACCCCAAGCCTCAGGCCTATGATGCAACTTCCATGCTGCCTCCCCACGTGACCCTTGGCCTCCTGGTGGCGGCAGGAGCGGTCGGAGTGCAAATGTGCTTGCAAGCCTTGGGCAGCAAAGGTCGAGTTGCCACTCCCCCCTCCCTGCACAGCTGGCCCTGGGTGCAGTGCCACATTGCAGAAGGCCCAGGCCCCGCAACACACCAGGGGCCCAGTGGCTTTTGCGTTCTGGAAGCTCCCGTAGTTCCCAGGAACTCGGGGCCTGACCGGGAAGGGCCCGGCCAGCTTGGGGGACTGCGGGGCTGCAGCCAAGGCCACTGGGGGGGGCACAAGCTGGTGGGGACCTAGCACGGGGCATTGGAAGCCCAGGGAGGCTCCCCCAAACTTGGATCTGAGTGGTTGCACCAGCACGCTCAGGCTCTGGACTATTGCAAAGTGGTGGCAAGTGCTGACCAGTTCAGTGGGGAGTACACAGGCTGCTCCCATGTGCGCCCTGCATGTGGTATGCACACACGACTGCATTTTGAGCTATTATGTGTTCACTTGTACATATACAGCACAAACACAAATCAGGACAAAAATATTTTTTAAAGATTGAGTTAAAATATATTATTATGGGCACTTGATTTATAGTACATCATTTGGGGTTTTTTTCCGGCTCTAAGATGGCAAACCCGCTTCCCTGAAGGAGTACTTCCAGAGGCAAGGGCAGGTGGCAAAGGTCAGAGGTTAGGGGTGGGACTTTGGGCCCCAAAATGGTGACCAGGGGCTGGGGCACCTGTCAAGGGGTAGGGCTACCTGTGCGGCCCTTGACAGCGTGCCAAAACTTGGTAAGCAGCCCTCCTCCCAAAATAATTGCCTGCCCCTGCTCTGTATCCTCAGGGAAGCCTAGGACTCACCAACTTGGATGGGAGTCCATGTTGACTCCAAATGCCACATCAGGAACTCCTGTTTTTGCTGCTGCTGCTCCCCTCCATCCATTTTAGCAGAGCTCCTGTGTCCATGGCTGGACTTGGGTTTACAATTCCCGTATTCTCCATCACATGTAGCTGGTAGGCACTCCCTTGTGCAGACTCAGAAGTCAGTTTCCTCATAAAAGTTTAGTGGGCACATCTACACAAAGTGTTTACTGTGGAGTTAACTAATTAGCTCTGCAGTAAAATCTCAGTATCTATGTGTACAGCCTTTTAGGCTGCAGTAAACTAATAGACACCACCTTAGTATTTGCACTTACAAGTACTATCTTATCTTGTGGCAGTGTTATTTGGTGTACTGCAATGCATATGTAGACACTGACAGGACTGGCTGGGGCACGAGGGTGCATCAGTGTAGGGGCTGCTTGCCCCACACTGAAGCACTCTTGTGCCCCAGCCAGCCCCTCTGCAGCATGTTGAACTGGGTCAGAACAGTCCCAGGCTGCCCCCTGGGCCCTCTGCCAGCCAGGGCTGCTCCAACTTGGCTCAACATACTGTGGGCGTGGGTGCACATGTAAACACTGTCCAGGATCAATAAACTCTGGCACACACTGTTGGAGTTTATTCAGTTGTATTAATAACACATGTAGGTGCACCCAGTTAGTTCTTTAGTTCCAGTCCATTTATTGTATGTGCAGAAAACCTCTCATTGCAGCAAAGAAAACAAGTATAGGTGCAAAGAACAAACAAGAAATCAAATCTCTGGTCTGCCTTCATACCCAGAAGAGCCCTGTGCTTCTCCTTAAGCACCAGTCTTCCCTCTCTCTCCCCCTCCCTTCCTGGGAGCTTTTAACTTCCTCTGAGCCCAGTCAGCCATCTCTGTCAGCTGACCCAGTGTTCATAAGTAGGTAGGCTATTGCATCCAACCCCCCACAGTTGGGCTCTATCTTCATTACAAGACACCTCAGTACAAGGGCCTATGGTTGGTAGGGCATGCAGCTCCCAGCCACTAAGAAACTGGACAGCCCTTATTTAGTGGATCAAAGAAAATTGGTGCAAAAGAACAATCAGTTGCCGATTAAGAGCATCTAGAATCAGACTTTAACATACAATTCCTTTTTATAATGCAGGTAAAGAAGTATATCTGAAAATCTGAAGTTTTAAAAGTAAGATTTTTGTATAGCTAGAACTCTGACATGTTAGTTAACTCCTTATTTTTCAATTATTTAAGTGCTGCTAAAAGTCCTTTAAACTCCTTTGGTTCTCAAATCTTTTAGCAGAACTTTTGATTCTATATTCTGACAAGTTTTCAGTTAATTATCTGTTTTGGAATTTTTGGGTTGTGTTGTATATATAAAAATGTTGCCCACATTTTTTTCGCTTAAAAGTTGCTTTAATTTCCAGCAAGTAAAGTGATTTGAAATCCAAACATGTATGGTACAAGTGGATAAGTTATAAAGGGCATGAAGTCAGGAAACATTAAAAGGTAAGGCTGATGCCTTGTTATCTGCATGTGTAGTAAGCAGCAGAAGCTTGAATGCTCATTGTAGATAAGCATATCATATTTGGAAGCACAAGTCTGGAAGCAGTTCTAGTCATTGTATCACAGTGGGATCTGTGCTCCTGAGAAAAGTCATGGCCAGGACTGTACTGTGTGAAAATTGTATGGGAGTCCTCTGCGTGGAAGGCAAGAAGAATACCAGGATAACATTGGAGAACATGTTTTTTATGAATCCACCCTAAGTGCAAACCTCCAGCACAACCTATGAAAAAGCACGCGTTGGCAATTGTAACTTCAAATGACACAGCTAGAATGTCCTGGCATTTTCATTACTTTCACAGCATAATCAGTTTTTGGGATACTTAACAGAAATGTGACAAATGTGGTATCCACTTGGAAGTTACAATCTGAGACACAAAGGGTAAGGGAAATGAGGAAAGTAAGTGGGGGAAGATGCAATAAAACCAAGCAGTGCGAGTCATGTAGTAAGGTGGGTCTTCGTTCTCTGTCACCACCCAGAATCTTTGGACTGTAGCTCACTGGAAGCAGCTGCTCTCTTTGAGGTGCTCTATTTAGGACTAAGTTCACAAGGTACCAAAGCTAGTTCTTTTCCAGTGCACAAATTAGCACTTAATTTCCCTGGAGTGGTTTTGCCTTGTGTCATTAAAGTATCTCCAGTACTCCTGCTTTCATTCAGGAAGTAAGGAAGAGGCTGTGGATCTGAGATTGGTCCTAAAAGTAGACTTAA